TGTGCATATGCATTATGATACAGTCTTTAACTATAAAATTACATACTATTTTTTCCCCACAGGACCCCTAGTCTCATTCGGTGCACAGGATGGACAGTGCACAAATAACAAGCAGCTATTCAGTGTTATCTTTTATCCTCAGTGTTCAATGTGTGGCCCTAGCTCTATTTAATCCATATTATTCAAACCCTGCTCTGAATACACAATTATTAATTTCCTCATGAACTCTTCTATGGCACTCATTGCTATAGAATCTGAGTGCTCCAGAAACGTTAATGAAATTTATCTTCACATCACAACAACCCTGTGAGATGAGGAGGCAGCATTACCCCCATTTTACAGATGAAGAACTGAGGTACAGAGAGAATAGGTCAAAAGCATCCACTAATTTTGGATGCCCAAACTGAGATGCCTAGGACCTGATTTTTCAGTGCACTTAGCAGCACATAGTATTATATATGTTCAAAGCTCCCATTGACTTCAGCTGAGGTTGCGAGCACTCAGTAGGTCTCATGTTGTGTGCCCAGAAAATGAGGAACACACAATTAGTGACCACCAAGAAAAGTTTGGTTTAAGTGACTTGCTTATAGCATCACATAGAAATTCTGTGGCAGAGGTAGAGCTAGAATCCAATCCTCAAGAGCAGCATTCAATTAACGAGCTTTTCTCTTCATACAATCCACTGCCTCATTCACTTCCAATTTCTACAATAAATGAGGCAGAGGTCCTACCACTCACAGCCTCCTACACAACACAATCATGATTCGTCCTCAGAGCAGGTCCATCGTGTTCACTGAATGAGGCAGGGGTCCTGTGGAAAAAATATGTGATTATGTAACTGAAGACAGTCTCATAATGCACAGGTACCACAAGGGGGACGAATTAAGGATGCACAGACAACCTTAATTCCGGCATTTCCTAACTTTTGATTGTTTGACTTTGCAACATTACAAATGTTCTTTTAATGTAATTTGTGAGTGTAAGAAATAAGGTTGAAAGTGACTCATTTGCACTCAAATCTTTAACTTACCAGATATGTCTGACATTGAATTGTCAGTGTTAGCTCTGCTATGAAAAATTTATCAACTCTCTCTATAATTTTATTAGAGAATGTTTAAAAATAGATGATACAGAGTGTTGAAACGTCAATTATTAGTCATCAGGGGTAGCATACAGAGTATAGGGGGATGTTAGTATTTTGATATTGGATAGCACATAACACATACAGTCTGCAATATTCCCAATGGGGGGGTATAAGGTGGATGGATCAAGGTATAGTCAGCAAGCAGTGAGTCTATAATACTATATTCAGAACTAAACCTGTGTTGAGTTTACTCTATAATTTCTATTCAGAATACACATAAGAGCAATATTCCTTAGAAAGTGATATGGACAGGAGTACAGAAGCACCAATAAATACTAAACTTATTAGTGGTGAGTGACTGAGGCTAAGGCGCGTTCTTAGGGTTCTGTGGGTTATTATGGTTCTTTGTCTGAAAACTGTCTCTCCACTTAACCAACCTCCTAAATTCAAGAGTCCTAAATAAGGCAGACTTCACAACTTTGAGGGAAAGAGAAGTTTGGAAGGGATGGGGAATGAGAATTTCACTTAATGCTATTCTGCATGGAATTCCAAAGCAAGGCACATCATGAATTTATCTGTATTACTAATGTCTATGCACAAATGCAATAGGAATCAGGATGTTATTGACACTAGCTAGATGCAAATCTTGACTTGCTGGCATCACATATTTAGTGGGATGATTCTGATAACTGTAGATAGTGTATGTAGAAGAGATAAAAAGGAAAGAAAAACGGGAGGAATAGCACTGTATTGCTGAAATAATTATGAGCTACAATTAAACAAAGAAGAAAAACACCTGTGGATATCTGCTTCAGACCAGCAGGTCTGGAGGGAACGAAATATTACTGGACCATTTCTCAAAAGTTTTTAAGCTGCAAGATACTAACTGAGAGAATTTTGTTTACCTACAAGGTAACAAAAACAGCTAACCAGGAACCAAAGAATACAAACAATCTAAGAGCTAGTCTACACTGGCAGCGCTTTAACGTGCCTTGTGTGGTCACGGCGCAGCGCTGGGAGAGAGCTAGTCAGTTGAGATACTCCTTTTATGAAATTTCCCTTCAATAAGATTAAAAATATATATATTTGAATGATTAGAAAGGAAGGAAGACACTGTAAATATAAATTAAGAACAGGTGAAACCGGTGAAAGAATATTTGAATATACAGGTCTGTCTCATCTTACGCGGGGGTTCCGTTCTGCGGTTAGCGCGTAAAGCGAAAGCCGCGTATAGCCAAAACCCCATTGAGTTCAATGGCGAGCGAAATCGCCCGCACTACAGGTATAGTATTAAAACTGTTGTTTTTGTCTTTTTTGTTTTTGTTTTTTGTTTTTGCCAACCGCGTAAAGTTGAAATCACGCATGTTAAATTCGCGTAAGATGCGACAGACCTGTATACACATAAACCAGTCCAGATTATATGCATTCTAGAATCCAAAGGACATTAGGAAACAAATTACTCTACCACTAAGAATTAGATCTAAAAATCATGGAGAAATAGAGACGTAACCGAAAACTAAAATAAAATAAAAGTAATATTAATTTTCAAAAAGGGAAAAAAGAGCGATCCTGGCAATTACATTGATGTAAATGTAACAGCCACTCCTAGCTAACTAATAGAACATTAAGAAGCAAAAAACAAAGGTACTTAGCTAGTGGAGAATGGATTACAAGCGTTGAAATCACAGAATCATAGAGTGTAGGAGAAATACACGAGTTTACAAAAAATAATTCTTGCTAGAAAAAACTTACTCTTTTTTATTAAATACGTACAATATTCGCTCTTAAAGGGAACACAGTAGATGCAATATATTTTAATTCTGATTAAGCACTAGATACTGTGTCCCCTAAAATCGTACTTCAAAAACTTCATGAATGACTGAAAACTATCTGAATGACTAGGGAAATTAAATGGGAAATGATAAATAGCAGTGACAGTGGAGGTCAGCTACACCATCACTAACTTCTGTGACATATGTAACCCCCAGGGAGATTACCTAGATTCCAGGGGCTCTGTGTGCTGGTGGCTTCCCAAGCTGCCCTGGTGACCCTGCCAGGAAGGAGCAAGGGGAGTGGAGGCACTGCCAAATAAATTCATATAGGAAGAAAAAGAAGTTGCACCCTACTGAGTGGGTAGCGGGATTCAGAAGAACCCAGGCCTGTCAATCAAAACCCGCAAGGAGATTGGCACTAAAGGGGGTAACCAGGTGGATAGGGGGGTGCTACACTGGAGGTACTGTTGGGATCCCGTCTTTTAAACTCAGACCTTAAATTTACCCTTGCTGATTTCCCCAGGGAAATTGAGTAAATTCCCAGTATGGATTATCAGAAGAGGCATGTAACTTGGTATGAGCTGGAGGGAGCCGACCCTGAACACCACTTCATACTCACTAATGTACCCAAGTTAGACAAATTGAAGATGAGACTGAACCCTGCAAGCAGGCCTGGAGCTCACCAGCCCCCTTCCCCCAGCCAGTTCTACCCTTTCCCTGACTGGCCCAACCTGCTCCAAAAATGGCTTCTCCCCTCTCCTGAGCTCCCAAGGAAGGGCACCTCACTCCCTATTGGTTGCCGAGCAGACTCCGAGTCTGCCCTTGGCTCCCCATTCCTACCAGTGACAGTGTGCCTCTCCCTGAGCTAACAGCACACAGAGCCCCAAGAATCTAGGTAATCTCCTTGGGGTTTACATATATATTCATATCAATGTCCCTGGACAGTTTCACCCTGCTGGATGCCTTCAGATGGTGAACGCTAAAGGACAGGGACTTGACACTGGCTTTAGCACAATTTACCGGCTATACAGCATTGAGTACAGATACTCCACAGTACAGATAACAGGAACAGAATTCTACAGGTAGTTAGGTAACAGACAACTTAAAATCTAGATCTGAATAATATATTGTGTAATAACCGATTACCGTATTTACATTATTATACAGCAGCAAGACTTTGCTGGGCAGTTAACTATTTTGTAATTAAAGGTCTAACCATTATTATAAAGAGTATTTAGACCATATTTTTCTTCCCAGTGAAAAAGCAATATCAAAGCTTGTGTATAAATGGCATATATATTCCATAAGGACACATTTGCACTTAATTTACTGCCACATTCCAGGAAACAAGGTAGACATATCACTGCTTTTCACAGAAGTTACAGTGAAAAGCCAATAAATGATAAAATAAACTGAATATTTTCAAGGTTATTATAGAAATGTGCCTGTACTAGATAATTCCTGAACTCTAGTTTAACACTGAACCTTTAGTCCCATCCCAGTTTTTATTTATGTTGGATATTAGCTCTTTAATTATCAAATTATGAAAAACATATACATGATTTTTTATCCATTATGTGACCAGTGAAGAAGCATATTTTACCCTCCCTGCCTGCACTACAATATCAGTCAGCAGCAAGAGAGCAGCAAATCAGACAAAAACTGGGAAGAAATAAGGTCATGGACCCAACTAAGGAGTTAACTGTTGTTCCAGATTTTTGCCGATGAGAGACTAACAATATTTCTATTTTTTCCTCTTTTCTTTCAAAGGAATGCTATATCAATTCCGAGAACGGAGGAAAGAAAATGTTGCACTTTTGCTCCACATCATTTTTGAAGTGCAAATCAAAGTAATCTCATCTTCTCTCAAAAACCTTACACTCAGGCAAGCACATGGGGGGGGGGGAGGTATTTGTAGCAGGAGGAACCTTTTATATTGAGATGAACTGGAAAATAATGTCCAGAGTGTGAATAATGTGTGTCATATTGTTAGCATTTATTCTGACCAACATAAATGTTCCTTTCTATAGCAATGAGTAGGTTTCTTCTTACTCCGTAGCATTTTCAGTACTATTACCTGCCTATAGACTTTTAATTTTTTATTAGCTTATAGGACATTGTAAGGAAAAATATGTTGACTTTACCTTCACAAGACAGGCCATGAGAAGTAACTCCAGAGAGGCTCTCTCTGCACACATTACAGAAGGTAGGTCGGGCATGGGAGCAGGCGTACCAGTTATGCATCCCTGAGAAATGTTCCACATTAAACTGTGCGGTCTAGTAAAGGAGAAGTTAAGACAAATTTGCAAGTACAGAACACAGCTATAGAAACTGAAAGTACTTAGGAGTTCCATATTTATGCTGGAAAATTCAATGTGGAGAAGTACATGGAAAGGAGACTAAAAGCTCTCTCTCTCAAAACAAGAGCACAATAGCATGAATTGTACTAGTAAAATAAAGATTTAACAAAAACTGCATTTTAACCTTACAGGTTTTTCACACTCCACAAGACTGTATGTCTTGGGTTCTGTGTACTGTAGAGCTTGATATATTAAATCAATATTTATCCTGAAAGAAGAACAACATGCACTGAAAGGGATATTATCTTACCTCATAATGTTCTCTAGACTGTACAGACTTCAGTGAGCTGATCCAGTCCTCCATCTCTTTTCTGTTCTCAGCACACAGTATTAGCCTCCGGAATGGAGTGATTATCTGAAAGAGACTTCTCAATTTAATGATTCTGAATATTATAGATAGGAGAGATCATTACAGAATGTAACATCTGACAAGCCAATTTTTCTTATCTCTGATGATGCAAGTGAAATGCACACCCTAAATCTATATGATAATCAAAACCTTGAATATCAATGAGTTGTGTGTTGTTGTTTTTTAATCACTGTCTTAAAATGGTAAAGTGAACTTTTCTCAATTTAAATTCCGAGGATTTATATCAGGCTTTCATATGGGCTTTAAAAAAAATTATTTATTATGTCTCTTTTTCAGCTCTTTATCCATATGTAAATGTAAGACTCCCTGCAAAGCTCTAAAATGGCTAATAAATCTTTCCATAAATTATTTTAAACAGATGTCAGTTCTGTTTCATAACAACATTATAGCAACTGCAAAGTCTATAATTACTGTAGACGAAGACAAATCATACTGATAAACAAAAGCCGGAGATTCATAAACATTCTGCGCATTTCTCATTCCTACATTGGTGATGACATTGTATTTACATAATTGTTGTAATCAAATATAAAAACTTGATTTATGAGTTAATATAGGAATACACCCACACAAGCTGTATAATCAAAAGACACAGAGCAAAAAACAAACAGCTCAAACCCTATGCAATGGTGCCTATGCAGTGCTTCAGTGCACTCTTGGAACAGGTTGATGTTGCGCGGGGTTCAGTAGTCTGGATTTAGATCTTAGACACTGTATTCATCTTGAAATCTGAAGACTGCTGAATCTTGGAGATTCAGAGTAAAGGTGTCTTTTTCTTCCCCCACTAGTAGATAAACAATTAAAAATAACTGTAAGGCACCAAAAACTATCAGCCAACTCCCACAGAAATTATTTTGAGCACCGCACTAAAATAGATATTGTAGTTGCTTTGAGAACAACGAAGGAATCTAAAATAAAAATCTAAGTAATCAAAGGAAGAGTCATTTGCTTCTTCTGCAAAAATTAAAAACTAAAACTAAAACCTTGTTCAGTCTGAATATGTATTTCATTGTCCATACTGCCTACATTTGGAAATTATCTAAGTAAAGTAACAGCATAAACCACAGGAAAACTGTTAATTTTCTCTCATGGTGTTATAAGGTTCTTGTAACATTTACAATACATACATTATTAGTAAGTAATTATTTACAACTGTTTTTACTCACCCGGTGACCACGAGATAGCCTCTGCTCCTGGTTTGTGCTATGCAGTTCTTCATTAAACTGAACTGCACTTTAATATATCTGACAAGCAACCTAACTGAAATACAGCAGACTACAAGTCACATGGAAGGGCAGCACAAACCTTTGAGCTTTTTTTTTAAATGTACAAGCTGCACATGAAACTGAAGGACTCCACTCTGTTTTCTATTTCCTTCAGTCTTCCCCACCCTTTTTTTGATAAGACTTATTAACATCTGTCCACTTCTCTTCCTGAATAACAGTTAATGCAAAGAGCAATGCTTCTCTCATTAGTTAGGAGCCAAATGGATGCTTTATTACTTCAAAATGTTTTTCTGACAGCTCATCAAATGAAGCACAAAGAAGCCATTAAACCATAATATAACCCTGGTTCCAATAACAAGCACCAGGCTTCATCGAACTCATAGATATTATTTGTACAAATACTTCCCCCAGTCTTTATTTCCCAATATACTGTATGATATCATAATAAAGATACGCATTTATAGCTTTAAAGGAAGGACAAGGCTGCCTTAGTCACACAGCTAGGTCAGAGCATTTCATGTCAATTCCTTCCTTCTGACTACCAACAGACAGTGTAGTGAAACACATTTAATGCAAAAATACATTTAACTACCTTTGCTCCTTAAAGTTCTTCTTGAAAAACTCTTGATAATCTTTCCAAAAAAATACAGATCAAATACATATATCACTGATGTCTTATCTTTATTAATATCATTCACATAGAATCCCTTAAGTGAAAGAGTCAAAAAGTCTCTTTGCCAAAATAACTCATGTATAACCATACCAGATATTCCTATAGCAATACCGTTTTTATTTAATATTTGTTCATATAAGTTACAGCAGGCTGTAGCAGTCTCATTAAGTTATACAATTGATGGCTACATATGAATGTTAGATAAATTATTATTAGAGCTATTAAAATAAACACACTGGAAAGTTGGAAGAGACCCACATATTTGTAGATACAGGACGTAAAAGGCTATGAAGACTAATCTACTTATATTCTTTCTGCTTCACACACTTCCAACAACAAGCTTCAAGGAACAGCCAGTCTGGTTATTGTAAGGGAGTCAGACATATAAAACAAAAAGACAACCTGATGTTATATGAAATAAAAATACCTATGCTGGAATAACATTAAGTTTCTGACCTCCAACCAAGAGAAGCAATGAAGCTATGAATTCAGGTTCTCTCTATCCTTAAGGGGTTTCCTGAGTTGAGAATGATCTTATGTACCATACAATACGCCATCCTTCTCTTCTCCATTTACACTGAAGGCTATAGGCGCCGACTTCCACTGTTCCCGGTGGGTGCTTGACCCCGCCCCTGGCCCCGCCCCTGCACCACCCCCATTCCACCCCTTCCCCAAAGTCCCCACACCTGCCCCGCCTCCTCCCCTGAGTGGGTCACATCCCCACTCCTCCCCCCTCCCTCCTGGAAAGTCCTAAGCGCTGGGAAGTAGGCGGAGGTGTGGGGACGCGACGAGCTTGGGGGGGAGAGAAGGGGGGAAGGGGAGGGGAGCTTGGCTGCGGGTGGGTGCAGAGCACCCACTAATTTTTCCCCGTGGGTGCTCCAGCCCCAGAGCACCCATGGAGTCGGCGCCTACGCTGAAGACCCCTCTATATGGGAATATTCACAAAAGATAAGCTGAATCAACTACATTTGACTGAATTTAAAGTGCATTAAACCGCCGTGTGGATGCTTTAATTCAGAAATAAAGTGCTCTTAGTTCACTTTAAAGTGAACTAGAGCCATTTTACTTCTGAAGGAGAGCATCTACACAGCTGTTAAATGTGCTTTAAAATAATGCACTCTAAATTCACACCTCTAGTTAATTTGGCTTAATCTTCCTGAATGTCCCCATGTAGGCATGTCATGAGTAATGTCACATGGTCCCATGGCTAAATACGTAAAATTAGCATACAGTGCTTACACTTAATAAGTCTCTTACTTTGTGAGTGTGCACACTGTAAATGTCTGCGGGTTTCTAATTCAAAGTAAGCAACTTAAGAATTTGTTGAAACATACAGGGTTAAAATGTATCCCAGCACAGATGACCCACCCATGGCTCTCCATACCTCCTAAGCTCTTAAACAGAAGGCTGAAGTGGGGCTTAAATAGTGTGTTAATGTTTTGTTAGATTTCATTACTCTGGTGTAACTTTTACCCATAGTATAAAAAACCCTTATCCTATCTTTTTGGGAACCACAAAAATCAAGACTGCCCCATTTTAGTCTTATTAGGACATGAGTCATTCACTACAAATATCACAGGTTTTCATGAAGCACCACAAAATTCACATAAAAAACAATTTCAATAAAATATTAGGGCTATCCAATCAGGCCTAAAGAGTTTGAAACAGGCAGAAGAAACCTCCTACAAGATCCTCCCAACCACATCTGCTATCCACGAACATATATATAATGTATACATACAAATATATTATCTCATCAATGGCTTTTTTCCAATGGTATTGCACTCCAACATCATATTTAGTTTCCTTTCTATTGTTACTCAATTCTTACTCCACAGATGGGCACCCCTACCCAATTTGTATTTGTATGTTTTTTCTCATCTCCCTGGAATTGGAAGAGAAAAGGTACGAAAAATGGCAACAAAAATGATTAGGGATATGGAACAGCCTCCATAGGAGGAGAGAGAGACTCATAGACTTTAAAGCCGAAAGGAGCCATCATGATCATCTAGTCTGACTTGCACATTGCCGACCACAGAACCTCGCCCACCCACTCCTATAATAGACCCATAACCTCTGGCTGTATTACTGAAGTCCTCAAATCATGATTTAAAGACTTCAAGTTACAGAGATTCCGACATTTACGCTAGTTTAAAACAGCAAGTGACCCGTGCACCATGCTGCAGAGGAAGGCAAAAGCCCCCAGGGTCTCTGCCTATCTGAGCTGGGGGAAAATTCCTTCCCGACTCTAAATATGGTGATCAGTTGGACACTGAGCATGTCAGCAAGACCAACCAGCCAGACACCTGGGAAAGAATTCTCTGTAGTAATTCAGAGCCCACCCCATCTAGTGTCCCATCTCCAGCCACTGGGGATATTTGCTACACGCCACTGTAGTCTCATCATACCATCCCCTCCATAAACTTATCAAGCTCAGTCTTGAAGCCAGTTAGGTTTTTTGCCCCCACTGCTTCCCTTAGACAGCTGTTCCAGAACTTCACTCTGTTGATTAGAACCCTTCGTCTAATTTCAAGCCTAAAAATATTGATGGCTAGTTTATATCCATTTATTCATGTGTCAGCATTAGCACTCAACTTAAATAACTCCTCTCCCTCCCTGTTTTTTATCCCTTTGATGTATATATAGAGAGGAATCATATTTCCCCTCAGCCTTCACTTGGTTAGGCTAAACAAGTCAAGCTCTTTGAGTCTCTTCTCCATTGCTCTGATCATTCTTGTAGCCCTTCTCTGCACCTGTTCCAGTTTGAATTCATCTTTCTTAGACATTAGTCTTTTTCATGGCCCCATCACATTGTCTGGAAAAAGGGGTAAACAGTTAGGTGGCAAAATTTGCAGATGATACAAAACTACTCAAGATAGTTAAGTCCCAAGCAGACTGCGAAGAGCTACAAAAGGATCTCTCAAAACTGGGTGACCGGGCAACAAAATGGCAGATGAAATTCAATGTTGATAAATGCAATGTAATGCACATTGGAAAACATAATCCCACCTATACATATAAAATGATGGGGTCTAAATTACCTATTACCACTCAAGAAAGAGATCTTGGATTCATTGTGGATAGTT